TTTGTTTTAACATATTATATATATATATATATATATATATATATATATACAGGTATATAGGTATACATATATATATATATATATAGGTTTTTAATTTTGTACATTATTATTTGATGTTACGTATTACGTTATTAAAAAGTTATATAGAAAAATATTATTATTCTGCAAAATACAAAATGATATTTTTGTATATAAATAAAATAAAATAACATGATTCGGAAGTTTCCATATTTTAATACTTCTAAATTTAAGATTCTAACATTTTAAGATTCTAACAATTTATTACTCATACATGTATGATTAATTTCATTATCGAAATGTAAATATTTCTATATATTTGATAATAAATCATAAAAGTATTATCACGTAAATATCTAATATTATTTACGTATTGATTATAAAAATTAATTTATTCTATATTTAGAAAGAAAATTATATTCTATCTAAATTAAAATAAAAGTAATTTTTTTTATTAACTAAAGAGTATTTTGAATTTTTATGAATTATAAAAGAAAGATTCCAAACTTTTATAGTTATTAATCAATGAAATTATTCTAATGAAAAAATTGTAGTCTACAAATTGAGACATAGTTAATAAAACCAAATTTGTGGTTACAAAAGTAAATGCGTGTGAATACAAAAGTAACTTAAATATATTTTATTTTAATAATAAAACTGGCTGCAAAGAGTGACCCAAACTTAGTTTCATTAATTTCATACAGTTAAAATAAATCCCATTATAAGCATATCTTAAGATTTTAATACAAATTATTAAAGTAAACTTTATAATTAATAGTATTAAATGTACCATACAATCATACAAAGAAATATTATTTATGAAATATTTAAATATATTTTTTATATTTTTTGATAACAATATATAAATATACATATATATTGTTATCAAATATATATTTTCTATCATTTATTTTAATATAGTTAGAGTCACGATTCGCGCACCTACAATGATCAAGATGATTATTCTGTAATAATAATAGTAATAATTACAATAATAATAGCAATAATTATTATCATTGGAATTTTTACATAAAAATATAAATTACAGTTTACTGTATAAGAGAAATCTGTGAAATCTCAAGTCTTGGCTCTGCTAAAAATGAATTTGCAGACAGAGTAACAATTGATCGAAATAATTTTATAGTCTTGTTTCTGGAGATTCTATTTATCAACTGTACAATTTTGGAACCTGAGAAAATCAATTATTGAAGTTTAATCATTTATGTTGATATATCTAGTAGTTATATGTTATGATGTAAAAGATGTAAAAGTATCAAATAATATCAATTTTCAACTAATTTGGGCAAACCTCAGGCACCTATATATATCAACATAATTATACATTTTTATAAAATAGTTTTTTGTAAGTAAGGTGTACACAATTAAATGAATGTTGATTAATAATAATTTAAATAAAATACATTTTTAATACATAAATTTCCATTTAACTGGAATCTTAAAATTGATATTCTATCACTTCTTTGTTGGTACACCATAATTTATAAATATGTCCTTTGTGTAAAATATAATACACGTACAATTTTCTTGTTTAATTAGCTATAACATTCTAAATGCAAAAAATGCAAAAATATTAGTATAAGCAACAAATAAATTGAATTTATAGAATTTATATACTGTATTTTCTCTTTTATATGTACCGTATTTTCTTTTTATTTTGTATGATATTAAAAAATCAAAATTTTTGTCACAAAATAAACCTTACTTCCAAAAGTTAAAAATTATACAGAAATATTTTACTTATGGATCTATATACGATTTTTAATTAGAATTGATAAGATTCAACCATTATTAGCATGGTAGTTATTAAAGATAAACAAAAACTATTTATTGCCAATTCCTCTTCTAAACCATTACAAAATCTCGACCTGTGTTAGATTTTTCACTTTCTGAACCTTCGCTACCTTCTTCACCTTCTAATGCAGAAGGAAGTTTATTTTCTTCGCTAGACGAAATTTCTTCGATGTGAGTATGTTCTTTAGATAATTCTTTGATACTAGATTTCTCTTCTCTGTAAATGAAATATAAATATGCGCACGATAAAATCTTTTAAATATCAAACATTTAAAACATTTAAATTAATCAATAAAAATCAAAATAATATAATCAATTTTAACTTACAATTGTGTTGGTGTTTCTTCGGTATCAGAATCTTTCTCCTTCTTTTTCTTTTTTTTACTAACTTTTCTATCACTTTCTGATGTAGAGCCATAATATTCATACTACAAATATTTAAATATATATACATTTTATTCATTAAATAATAAATAATTTCAAATTAATACATACTTGATAAGGTGGCCAGAATGAAGCAAAGAATCCAACATCTGCAGTTAAATTAGGCAAAAGCCAAAGATGACATCTGCCAAGTGTTGGAACCCAAAGAAGGCAAAATACAATTAATCTAATAATTGCTAATGCCAAAATAAATACAAGGAATCCAGCAGCTGCAACACTTATATAATATACACCATGACGGATTGTTAATGGCCACAATGGGAAAAGGCAAACACCAATTGCACCCAAAACTACAAGTGTTCCAAAGAACCAGTAATATATGGGAATTGGCTCATATATCCAAACATAAGCATCATTGCAATCTACAAAATATTGTTCCATATGCATCTCCAAACGTACCTAAAACAATTAATAATTTTTTAAATAATTTATTTTATTATATATTCTTTTCAATATACCAAAAACTTATTTAATAACAACAAGATCACTAAAATGAATACTTTTTTGATACAATGCTTGAAATTATTTTAATATTTATTAAAATATTTATATTGTAAAATAACATAAATATAACAACAAAAAAAATAAATGTACACATGTAAATTTATAGTATTGAAAGAATTATGAATAATAAAACTTATTCATAAACTCATATAAATACATATATACATATTAAATAAATAAATTATTATTTTATTTTAAAACTTACTTTTGGTTTTTTCTTTTTTTCTTCAGTTTTATCTTCATTATCTTTTTCACTTATTATATCTTTGTTTTCTTTAGGTTCTTCTTTTTCTTTTTCAGATTTCTTTTCTTTTTTAATTTCTTTAACCTTTTTTTTTATTCCACGAATTTTATATAATTCTTCTTCAGATATTACTACTTTTTTTGCTCGATGAAAGAATTTATGTCTCAACATCAAGTCAAGAAATTCTGTAACTTGTTTACGTTTTTCAAATTTGGTTTTACTCCATGGTGAATTCTCCAATAAAGCATCCACTGCACGTGAACCAGTAAAGTATTCAACATTGTGACTTCTATCAAATTTTGTTTTTTTTGAAGGTACATTGTTACGAATCCATTTAGCTACTGCATATTCTTCTTTAGATGGTTTTTCTTGAATAACTTCGTTATCTACATTTGATGTTTCCTGCTATAAAAGGTTAAATTTTTAATATTTTAAAATTTCATTATATTAAGTTAATTAATGTAGAATATTATATTATAAATTAAAATTACGTTTCATTATGAAAAATATTTAATGTAATCGTAATTATGTATATTATATATTATATAAAAAATAGAATAATAAAGTTTAGATGATACAGATTGACACGAAATATAATTAAAACAAATGTTGAATTTCTATATAAAAAAAAAATGTTTGACATAGACGTTACGATTCTATAAACAATAAAATAAAATAATTTATCATATAATAACTTAATCATATAATTGAATTTATAATTGAATCATATAATGAATTTTATATATCGAAAATAAATTGTTTGCTACGTCATCCGTTATTCTATTACAACACTTATTCATATTGACACGTGCTTTGAATTAAAGAAAAAATATGAATTTAACATAAAATGGAATATTATACTTTTAATTACTGAATAAATATTACAATTTATATATAGTATTGAATAATATTGTAATAATTACAGCCATATGTGATACTTACATCTTTGCGCTTCCTGCTTTTCCTACGTTCCGCCATGTTGTAAATTCCGTTTTGCGCTTGCGTGTTCAATCTTATTTACTCATTAGCAGAAGCAACAAACGTGGCATGTGCTTCTGCGTAATATACTGCATACAGTGTGTAGCCGGCTTCTTAAATATTACACACGTTATTTGAAGAAAAAGGTATAACTAAATTTTTAAATACGTTAATTTTTAAAAGTTCATTTCTTTCAATTGGAATAATTACGGTTATTGATATTTCACATGCATTTTATAATGTTTTTTATAAAACTGTAATTTCTATAATTTTATTCTAATATATTGATTTATAACTAAAAGTTTTTTTTAATATAATTTTATTATAAATTCTTCTAAATTTAATTTTTATATAAAAAATTCTTTTTTAATGTAAATTTTGAATAGAATTGTTTTTTCAAATCTTATTTTTTTTTATGTATAATTATATATAATTAATGACAGAAAGAATTCATGTCATTTTAAGATAATTAATTTTATAAAATAAAATAGAAAAAAATATGAAATAATATAAAGAAATAAAATAATACAAATTGTTACAGTATATTTTTGAAAATAAAGTTAATTATTTTTATTCCTGCATATAAAATTAACTATTATTAATTCGAAAATTGCATAATTGCATAAGATGAAATTAATTATATACTGAGAAATGTAATAAACATTAAAATTAACGTATTAACCTATAAAAATGTTGTTAAACTTTTTCCTATTTTCATATGAAAAATATATTGATATAGGAAATTTAACCTTAAAAATGAGTGCACCAATAAGTACTGCAATGGATAGTTTGTCAGCTGCAATTAGATCTAATATAATTCCAAATCAAGAATATTTATTACAAGGATCAGTGTTAGATAGTGCAGTAGAAGTATTGCTTCATAGATTACGTGGTTTATGTGATAATGTGGATACCGGGCCAGAAACTTTTAATGATCATGAAATGTGTTTTAGTATCAGGTATGTTTAATAATTTTATAAGCATTAGAAATTGTATTGTATTCATAAATTTAAATTATCATTAAATGTTTCATATTGTAGAGGATCTGAACAGCCATTGCTTTTACGTGTAAGAAGGGCTTTAGATTATCAAGATATGCCCTGGCAATTACGTTATATCGGTCAACCCGAATTGGGTGATAAATCAAGACCCACAATTGTCAGAAGCAGTTTAGATATAGCAACTAGTAACACAGTTGTCGACTTTTTAACAGAACTTGGATGTAGATTAGATTTTGAATATATTGCACGTGGTTATATGTTTCGTAAAGGTAGAATGAAAGTAACAGTTTCCAAAATATTTAAAATGGGTCAACAAGGAAAAATACCTGAAAGTATGGAAGCAATATCTCAAAGTTATTTAGTAGAATTGAGTGTTTTAGCACCTAGTGGTCAAGATGCAATAGCAGAAGATATGAGAATTTTTGCAGAACAATTAAAACCTTTAGTACAACTTGAAAAAATTGATTATAAAAGACTTGTACATTAATATAATAATCAATATTGTATTTTAAACCGTATTAATTATATTTATTTCGTTTGTATAAATTTTTACCGATATTGTCGAAAATATTCTCCTTATATATTTAATTACATTATGTTTTGCGAAATCATCGTTTTAGGTGTATATTGTAAAACTGAAAATGTGATATATATTTTTTACGTTAAAGATTAAAATATATTGTAGTTTTTAAAAAAAACTGTATATGAAAATGTATTCAATTAATTTTTTTCCATACCTTACTTTTGGTTTAGGATCACGCGCCAAGCAATGATATAGACAAAGAAAGTAAACATATCAGGAAAAGGATAGAGATAGGATTAAAAATATTGAAATCAGCGCCATCTTCAGAGTGCCACAAATGAAATACAAAGAAAGGATAAAAACGTAGTAAGAAATGATCTTTAATGCCATCTTTCGAGTATTAAAGCATCTTTGCATCAAAATAGAATAAAATAGACTGAGAATTGAAGATCAGCGTCATCTTTTAAAATAATTCTTCGGCGAAATATCTTTTGTATTCAAAAGATAGCGTTAACATTCAATTCTTATTCTATCTTTATTTCTTTCATTATTTTCTATTCTTTTTTTATGTTTCATTTGAAGATGACACTGATTTCTATATTTTATTCTATATCTGTCCTTTTCTCATTATTATCCACTCTTTTTTTTGTCTATTTTTCGAGCTCTGCATTTGTATGACAAAATTTATGCTCAAGAAACGATTGCGATATCTTTATATTATCGATTAAAAATTTTAACAGACTTTATTTTTAATCCAATTTTTAAATGTTGTAAATATATATTTTCTTATGTATTTATATCATATAAGTATAGACCAATAATACATATATTCTTATATATACAAATATTTATATTCTTATATCATATTATTTTTATAAATAATTTATTATATGATCTATAATATATATCACTTCTTAATCGAAAAAAGACAAAATAATAATTTTGCCTTTTATATAATCGTACGATAATATTTTCACTGAATTCTTAAATATAAAAAGTATTACCTAAAGAAAGCATACATAAACGAACGCCTTGTTGACAGAGATGATAATCTTTTATAGGTAAAGCTAAAGTTTCATCTAGAAGTTTTAAAATTTTTAAATAAGATTTTAACGCTTCTCGATGGTTTCCTTGCTCGAGATTTTTGGATGCAGTTTTAAAAATTGCATCTGTCTCTTGTAACGCTTTTAATCCTTTAAAAATATTCATACATTTTCTACATTTGAAACATTCGATCATAAATTCGTTCGAATCTGTTTTTACGGGTAGAACGTTTCCACATTCTTTTCCAGTTTCGCATTTAAACCTAAATATCGAAGAACAAAAAATTAAGATTAAGAAAATTATTTTTCACTCATAAATTTTAAATAAAAAATTAAACCTTAAAATCGTTGGATCGATTTCTTCTAAGAGAGGCCAATGATCTCTACATGCTTCACAGTTGCAATCGAAAAAATATTGCAATCTCAATTTTCTCTTCCGTTCACTTTCGGGAGTAGTAGTAAAAATTTGACCGTAGTTCTCAGAAATTTCCTCTCCCGATGAAATGGAACGAATTGCTCGTACAACCATAGTCGTACCGATAAAGTATCTATATGATCAATGATACTTAATTAGATATTCTTTAAAATGAACAAGAATATAATAAATTCATATTTATCATTAAATCATAACCTCATAAATAATTGTAAGCAAAGGTACTAATATTATTATTCACCTGATGATACCAGGATTGCACGAATGATTAAATAACGATATTGTCGGATAAAGTCCTCCACCGATAAATTTGCTTTTAGCGTTTGCTAAATTATTATCGGCTCTTGGTATCACTAATTCCGATATCTGAAAATCAAATTGAAAGAAAATGAAAACGATTATTAATTCCATGGAAAAAATAATATATAACTTACTTCGTGAGCGTTAAATTGTATCATCATTAAATTATGTAGAATTAAACCGCCTATATACAATTCACCATCGGAAAGTTTTGCTTCTACCGTATCTGGAGTTTTAACATGTTTCGGAAAATAAGGACCATTTTTCAACAGTCTCAATAACCAACTAGCTATGTAAGTTCTGTGAAAGAGATCTTCTATAGTCCTTTTGTCCTCGTGAGTTACTATACGAAAAGAAGTATCAAGTATATATATCGTATTTTTGACAATCTATTGTCAAACAAAAACACATATATATATATTCGATTTGTTAAAAAATTGAAGAAACTTTAAACATAGTTAAAGCTTTAAACATAGTTATACATTTAATCTTACTTTTATACTGTAGACAAGTTCTCGAAAAAATTTAATTACCTAACCTAAACATAATTTTAAAATCATCGAATCGATAAGGTTCACTTGCGGATACTTTAAATTTATCCTTCCCTTTCACATCTTTCAATTTGTACAATTTGTCGAATGATTGTTGAACAATTATCCTCAAAGCTAGAAAACAATTTATAGAAGTTTTCGACGCCCACAAAGTAGGCAATATCGGACACTCGTTTTCATGGATCTTGGCATCCTTGTCTCTACATGAAATACTACAATAAGCGACACAACTGCACGTTTGGCAAACAGCTGGTATCGGTACAAATATCTTTGTGAAACAACAGAAACAATTGATGAGTCTGAAATGTAATTACTTCGTATTATATAAATACGTATATATGTATTTTGATAAAAATTCGAGCGAACCTGTATTCCGCCAATAGGAATGCACTATACGGTTTCTCTACTGCCAATATCTCTCCAGGTTCGATATCTTTAGTAGCAATCGCGTGTCTGCCTATGCTACCACCTTCGTCTCTTATTTCAACCGCTTTGCTGCAAGAAGGATATAAAGGATTGCAGTCCTCGATCTTTGGAGTCGGTTTCTCAGGCTCGCCAATATTTCTCTTTTCAGGAATTTTCGGCCCTTTACGTGCCAACTGATTACCCTTCTCTATCACGGCGAGCATGATTCTGATGTCCGCTTCGAGCTTTTGTTTCTTCTCCCCGGATAATTTTCCATCGTCCAAAGCTTTTAAAGCGCTTCTAAATGCCAAGACGGCCTCGTCGTGCCTTTTTAACGCGAGCAAACATCTGGCCCGTCTTTCTTCGATCTTGTAACGCAACTCTTGAGGATATCCCACGCGCAAAGCCTCTTCTGCGTCGGTGAGGGCGTAACTGTGCTTTTCCAGATGGTAAAGCGTTGCCGAACGATTTGCCAATAGGACGGCTACATCTGGTGGAGGAGATTAATTAACCGATTCGTACGATTTAATAAAATTTAGATAGGAAAATTATTTCGTACAATTCGTGGAATGATAAATTAAAATAAAATAAAGAAGAATAAGATCTCGAGATGACGAAATTTTTAATAGTGGTGAAATAAATATAACCGATGATAACATCAACAATCGTCAATTACCTTTTTGAGGTGCGAGCAGAACAGCGTTCGAATAAATTTCCAACGCCTTAACGAATTCTCCACGGCCGAAATACTTGTTACCAACATCCTTGAGTTTCAAAGCTTTCTCACCGTTCTTCAACATTTGATCCTTCGCTTCTCCGATCTTTATAGCCAAATCGTAAACTTGCGGATAGCGCAACATGAAATCGATCCTTTCCGAGTTGCTATTCAAAGATATGAATTTTTTCATGTCTTGCGGTGTAATTGCGTTTTGCAACCGGTGGAAATTTGATCGAAAGTAATCGCTAATTTCGTTGTCCTTCTCTTCCAGCATCCTTTAACCTTTAGATTTTTATTCTCGAAAGATTCTCTAATATTTTCTCGAGTTTTTTAAAATATGTATTTTATTATTTACTCGTTTCCAACGTTCACTGGGCACGCTTTGAAATGGGAAAACAACGTAAGAATTTTTTGATTTCTCTTCTCGAAGAAAGATTATTTTTCCAGTCGAGAATGCATACGCGTTGTCGACGGTCGACGACACTCGATGCTACTGGCAACTTGCTACACCCAAGCGTCCAAAAACTACGTTCATCTATTCCCGTGTGCGCTATTTCTGGTTGCATCGGGTAGTCGTAGATGCGTGCAATAGAACAAACGGCTTACAAACATAAGCACGTGTAATTGATTCAATCTTCCCAATTTGTTTTACAAGCCGAATCTTTTGTAGACACTCGTCGACTCGTAAGCGTATTTTGAGCGCGAGAGAGAAGGACAGAATGAAACTATCCGAGTTACCGATTATCGATTTTTTTCGCGTACGTGAATTTTCGTATGATACGTCATTTTTTTTTTTTTTTTCTTTTTTTTACGTACGTAAAAAGCTTTTTCAGAAATTTTTTTGATGAAAAAGAAATGTCTCTATGTATTTGAATAAAGGTAAAATTTACAAGTTTAATTTATATTTCATAATTTGCATGGATATCGTCATCGTTAAATTATTCGTTTAATTTTTTTTTTTCCACGTATTCATGGGTTTATTGCGTTATGGAAAATAGTAGTAGGTCGTTAAATAATTTATTAACCAGAATCATTTTATATGTCGAGAAAAGAATAATTTATGTACATATATATATATATAGCATGCAATATAAACACATATATTTATACGTGGAATCTTACAAGCTATATAATTTAAGTACAATATATATACAAAACTTAAACAAGGTACAAAATATCGATGTACGAAATGTATATAAGTACGATAATATTTTTCTCGTGAGATTATTTCGATCGAATGAAATCGCAATTTAATAAGTTACGTGTTATCGATTGATATTACATCGAAATCTTACAAATTACATACAATAAATATATATTAATCTTCTAACAATTTAATATCATATTTATGTTATCAATTAATTTCTTATTTATCTAATAGAATATATGATATATTATATATATATATATATTAATATATTAAACAGATTCATCGTTAATTAATTATATCATTAACAATAACAAAATTCTATACTCAACAAGATTTACGTTTCTCCTATTTCCTTATAACATAGGAGAGAGAGAGAGAAAAAAAGTGAAAGAGCAAACGCGATCAGGTATAATGTTCCTTGAATTAATTAACTCACGTTTCCATAATTCAAATCGTCGTTAAATCTTAATTGACTTGTTTCCTCTTCTTATTTTTTCACGGACATATGCAAATAAGCGAAACGTATGTAAATATACCCTGTCTTGTCAGTTACGAGCACCGTGTATATATATATATATATATATAAATATAAAAGATACGAGAGTTTTTTTTAATTTAAACCAAAACACTTAACATAACCTATTATTCAATTCAAAACAATTTCACTCGTATCTTACGAAAATACTTATTATCTCATTAATTTCGAGTGAAAAGAAAAAGAGAATAATAAACAATGCATATTGCAAAAAACGATATTCGCATTAATTATTATTCATCAGAAAATTTAAAAATCATAGGAAGCTTCGTCGTCCTCCTTTTTACGCCTGAACGCCATTTTGTACAGTCCACCGGCTGCGCAAGCGCCGATTATCGGTCCGATCCAATAGACCCAAAGATTCTTCCACTCGCCAAGTATGACAGCTGGACCCAACGTTCTTGCGGGATTCATGCTGCTTCCCGTCACGGGTACAGCCGCCATG